GCGGCTTTTTTTGAAATCGTCGTCTTTACTTTCTACGTCGGTCGATTCATAACTTCTGCCGTTCTTTATTTGCTTTGATTTTACACTGCGGAAATCCTGTTTCAAATAGACGTCGGTTTTTTAATTAGGTACGTCGTTGTTTATGAACAACCATTTGAATCTCCATTTTTTAGGTGTCTAAGGTGTTATTACACGGCGGTTTTATAGAACCGTCGTCTTTTAAAAAACAACGACGGTTTTCACTTAGACCGTCGTTTTTTTCTGGTCGTCTTTGTCACTTTTTGTAGTAGTGTTGACCTGTTTTGTTCTTGCAGCTCAACTTCGCTGAGTAGAGATCATTAAAAGAAGCCGAAGCAACCTTAGCAAGGACTTCTACCAAAAGCTCGTTCGGGATAAGATTGTATGGCTGACATGGGACTCTTCTTCATTGATCTTGTCTTATGATGCCTGGCAAGAACATTCTAATTATCCATTAGAACAAAGCTTTCATATGTTTGTAAAAAATTTAATTAATACATTAAATTGGGAAAACTCAAGAATATATTAAACTAAAAAAGAAAACCAAAAACAGGGGCAGAGAGAAACCACATATTATAGTGGAGGAAATAATTGGTTATGGAATACAAAATCTCAAGTCCGTCTTTCTTGGCCTTGCCCCCAAAACACACCAAGATGGCCCTGTAAAGATACCTAGTTTCTACATGACCCTTGGAGGATGTTTTCTTCAACCACCAAATTCCTTGTTGTGCCCTCTTACCCTTAAAAAGATCATGAAGCCCTTGTCTATACAAGGTGTTCGCATTGCAGCACTCTTTACATGGTCTCAAAAACTTATAGGCTTTGTTGTTTTTCTTCCAAGAAATCAATGGGACTTTACTTATGTCGACGCACTAGAATATGTAGTATTTTTGATATGTTTTGATGAAGTCCTTACAGCTCAACTTTGTCAAGTAGAGATTGTTGAAACAAGCCGAAGCCACCTTAGCAAGCACTTCTACCAAAAGCTCCTACGATCACTACTACAAAAAGTGAAAAAGACGACCAGAAAAACAC